CACACACATGCATACATACATACACACAACACACACGCACACATGGTAATTGCAACTTACTCAGAAAATATGCTGAGGAATGTGAGGACAGACATTTTTTGTGCACAGTGGCATGATTTGCTTCAGAGGTCAAGGGTGCAGAGGATTGACGGGATCTTTTCTCCGGGTCATACTGGTGTGGGGAAATGAACAGGTGGACAGATTGGCTGGCTCTGCACAACTTGGGTGAATGCTGATTCATGATAAGGGAGATGTGGTTAGGGCCTAATAGGAGTAAATGTACAATCTGGAACAGCACACTGATCATTACAGTCTAGTGAGAGTGATGCAGCGAGGAGTGACGAGGGGATCAGGCCATTACTCTACGCTCAGAAGAAAGGCACAAGGACACATAATCAGGCTGCTAATGGCACCACTGGTATTGGAACTCTGCATTGGCTGCTGAAGATGGGGACAGAGTGCTTATGGGAATGCCCTGAGTTATGTGATGTCAGTTCTTGAATCAACTCAACTCCAGGGTCAAGTGGACTTGAAATGAATACCATAGAATGTCCCAGGAAGTAAAGAAGGTTTGCAAAACGACAACTGCCATTCAAGTGTTGATTAGTTTTTAAATTTTGCTTACTTGTAATCCCCCCACCCCACCCCCACATTTCTCCCCCCCCCCCCCCCCCCCCCCCCCCCCCCCCCCCCCCCCGATTGAACGTATGTCAACTGTTTTAGTGTATTATATAGTTTTTTTTATTATTTCTACTCCTAGCTGCCTGTTCTACTTCCTTAGCTAGTCTATCAACATATGCTCTCTTATCTCCTCTTACATAGCTCTTAATGTGTTTATCTTTATTTAGCTGTTATTTCTTGTTAGCCTTGCATATAGCAAGTTCCAGATGTCTTCTCTCCTGAAAACACTGCCATGTGTCATCACTTATTCCAGGTTTTCTATCATACTTCTTAAGTCTTGCACTAAATCATTGCTGCTTCTACAATTGTGGTCTTTACATCATTCCATTTGTCCTCAGTGCTCAGTGTATATATATCTATTCTTAGTAGTCATCTTAGAACATATATTTAGTATTCGTATATTTATAACCTGATGAAGAAAGGCGACAGGAGAAAGAGACAGAAGAAAAAAGGAATTACGCTTACGGTAGAGGTCTCACGTTCCACAGACATTTGTGTGAGCCTGTTTCATAGCCAGACTTCCCTTTACCAGAATCATGGATCACTGGTGCTGCTTCCATTTTCTGATCCCATGATCCATTTAAAACCCATTTGGCATTGCCCTGAGAATTCTTTACGACTCCTGATACCTGAAAGTCGATTGCACATGGAGAATTGTATTAGACAAAAGGTATTTATGTATACATACATACATACATATATATAAATATATATATATATATATATATATATATATATATATATATATATATATATATATATATATATATATATATATATATATATATATATATATATATATGATGCACATATATATATATATATATATATATATATATATATATATATATATATATATATATATATATACACACTCACATATATATGTGTGAATGTTTGTATATATATACATATATATATATTTATATACACACACATATATATACATATATAATGCATGTCTGTTCTTTTTTAATGTAAAAACACAAAGTTCATAAAAGTTATTCTAGCAGCATAATTATCATCAAGTGTTTCGGCTTTCCGGCTGACCATGTTTTTTATGGATGTCTGCACTTCCGATGAAATGGTACATCTCACGTTTTCAGTCGCAGAAAGAGAGTGACTTCCCTTTCCATTCATAAATTGCTATGTTACAGGGTTTGTGCTGTGTTGTGGGGGTGTCAAGCTTAGTGACCGGCCAACAACATGCAGCATTTTACTAATTGTCACTGGCCGGCCATATCCTGTGTTCCCTATTACAGGATGTGAGCACTTTTAACGGTCCCAAAACATGCAGAACTGGCCCTAACCCTAACACCCCCTACGTCCCACTGGAGAGTGCAGCCTATGTCCCATGAGAGAGTGCAGCCTATATCCTGTAATATAGAACATGCTATATGGCTGGCCAGTGACAACAACTAGTAAAATGCTGCATATTGTTGGCCGGTCACTAAGCTTGACACCCCTTGCAACATATCACAAACCCTGCAACACAGCAATTTATGAATAGGAAGGGAAGTCACTCTCTTTCTGGACCCAAAAACATAAGTTGTAATAATAAATAAATTAATTACATTTATTTGATAGATGTTTTTGGTCTACCCCTTACTCTTTATCTAGAAGGTGAAATGTTTGGGTTGACTTCACACTGTATAATCCTATGTGCAGTATTTAGTTAAGTAAAATGTAAAAGTAAGTCACAGACTCTTGACGTCACTGGTGAATTAAACATATACTGCTAGACTAGCTTCAAACCAGACATCGTTAATCTCCAGAAAATTTACTGGCATAAATTTTACACTTGGGTCGATTGGAAGCCCTAGGTTAATTATGAAAATCTGCCTTAATGTGGACTCAAACCCAAAACATTCAGGCCAGTAGGCAAGATCTAGCAGCTGCACTGGCTTCACAGTAACTAGTAGACACTGGGTAGTATTATGAGCAGCATTCAAGCAGACATTAAATATTGCTGTGTTGGGTGTTTAGCAGACAAGGTCGTATATCTCTGGTAAATTATTGGACTGTAACTGAGAATCACAAATATTTATGGGGATATTACTCATTCTGACTACAGTTCACAAATATCTCTGTGGATATGACTGTTTGTAGCTGGGATTTACATATACCTAAGGCAGTAAAACTAGAAGGAACTGAGTATTCGCACATATCTATGTAGATACAACTGGAGTGACTGAAAATATAAAGGGATGCAGCTTTTGTAATACACAGATTTAAAGCAACAAACTCTGCCTGTACTTATTCTAGAATCAAACAAGCACAGACTACTGGGGCGTATAATTTAAAAGACTTTAAGCGAAACAGTAATGAAATAAGGTTCAAAAGCAAACTAAAGATGGCAGCAAGGATTAAAATAAGAAAAAGGGAATATTTAGAAACAAATTTAGGACACATGAAACAAATTTATAGCTAAAATAATTGAAACATACAAACCCCACGAAAAATATACACAAAGAATTAACAATTTTCAGAAAAGTAATACTGTAAGATGTCTGATTAATTTTTAACCCTACCAGACCTGAGGCCCTGAACCTAACTGCCCCCTATACCTGAGCTCCTGGGCATTAACACGAAAAAAGCAACATGATATACAAAAAATATTAGTTACATGCAAACAAGTGGTTAGAACTTGGAGACATTGTAGAAAATAGGTTTATCTTTCATCTAGCGCCAATATTCCACCTTTGTGTGACAACCCACCCAGCAGGATCAGCCTTGTTTCACAAAGTGAGCACTAGATGTTGCTGTTTGAGGGACACGCCCCCCTTCTCTTACTGTCGATCTAGTTTAAAATCTATAATTTTCAAGATTCTCCTCATCACTCGAGCTCTCACTGACTATGCCACTTCAACTGGGAACATAATCTTCATGAAATTCTGATCCCTCCGTCTGAATCAACCAAAGTATCCATCAGCGGTTGGACTGTGACAAGCCTAAACCTACTTCACTTTCCTGTAGGATGCTTGGTTCATTAGCCGCTTGTTTCATTGTGAATTTTCAGAATTGTTTCAAGGTAAACCATACAAAGTAACTCCAAACACACGTAGGCAGCCATTCACAATGACTAACCATGAGATTTGATCATGACTGGTTGGTTATTTGTAGTTTGTTATTCATTTTATCACGTAATATGCAAAGTACCACAAATTAGAGACAGCGGTTTAGTGACAGGTTAGGAAATTACCGGAAAATCGGTACAGCGGTCTGGCAGAGTTAAAAATTAACTTTAATAGGCTGAAACATGTACAAGAAATATAATTTATAAACAAAATAATTTATACCCCCTAAAAAATAAGAATCACAGTTTATCAAAGAATTGGGATGATTCGACTACAAATGTTTTGTTTTTTGGGGGGTGTGTGTTACATTTTTGCTTCATGACCATGTGGTACTAGGGTTTGATTCCAGTCGTGGATGGTTAAATAAAACCCTTCTTGTAGTTTATGGACAGTAGTATGAGTCGTAGTTTATGGACAGTAGTATGAGTCGTAGTTTATGGACAGTAGTATGAGTCGTAGTTTATGGACAGTAATATGAGTCGTAGTTTATGGACAGTAGTATGAGTCGTAGTTTATGGACAGTAGTATGAGTCGTAGTTTATGGACAGTAATATGAGTCATAGTTTATGGACAGTAGTATGAGTCGTAGTTTATGGACAGTAGTATGAGTCGTAGTTTATGGACAGTAGTATGAGTCGTAGATTATGGACAGTAGTAAGGTTCATAGATTATGGACAGTTGTATGAGTCGTAGATTATGGACAGTAGTATGAGTCGTGCCATAGGCAAGATTGAGGCTGTCCACCTAATATTCCCAAAGACACCAGGAGATACACTATAGCCAACTGTCATTGTGGAGATGGCACAGATTTTTTGGTTTGTTTCGGGTCCAGAAATCATGAACAAGCTAGGACTTGGAAGTTTAAACTTTTTGTCTGGGAAGCACTTTGAATAACAAAATACAGAGACTTGCAGGTATTCCTGAAAAACATCCTTTAAAACCCAACTATTTGAGACACAGGTCACTGATGTATTTCTGGAAAATATACCTACAATAAAACAAATTAAAAACAGAGAGTGAAATATATTAAGGGAGTTATCACTGAGAGTGAAATATATTAAGGGAGTGATTATCATAGTGAAGCATTAAATAGAATACATTTTCCAAGGACCTAGAAAATGTGTTGTTGACACATACCATGGTTCTGTGACCTCACTGGAATTCTAGGTCTATGGGCAAATTAGGATATCAAAATGGCTTCCCATATATGAGCAGGTACAAACACACCCCAATGACATTACCAAGACTTCTTGGGGACAGGACATTGCAGAGATGCTAGGTACATGTCATTTAGGGGACTAGTAACAGTTGGGAATGTGGAAGAGCTTCTTGGGGCAACAGGTTTAAATTATTTAAGGGTAAGAGAATCTACTACATTGCATCAGATTTAATGCCATTTTCCCCAGTCTGTCTGCAGAATAGCTGGCTCCTTGTCAAAAGTCTAACATGGAATACAAACTGTATTGTTCCAGTAACAATCCACAACAATCCGGGAGGGACTGAAGAGGACATACAGTCACGTCTGAACAAAGCTAGAGCTGCTTTTGGAAGGATGAGGCAAATCTGGAAATCCAACAATTACTGCAGAGGAACGAAACTCTGACTCTACAAGAGCATCATTTTGCCAGTTCTTCTTTATGAAGCGGAATGCTGGAGAATGACCAAAAAGGATTCACACAAGCTGTCCACCTTCCACCACACATGTCTACGTAGAATTATCAAAATTGTCTGGCCAGATCCAATCTCAAATACTAAACTACTTTAAGTCACAAACCAGAAAACTCTAGACAGTATGATAACTAAGAGAAGATGGAAATGGCTTGGCCACGTTATGAGAATGAATCCTAATATACCCGCCAAAACAGCTCTCACATGGACACCAGAGGGAAAGAGAAAACAGGGGCGCCCAAAAACAACATGGAGATAAACGATGGAAAGTGGCCCGAGTGCGGCATCTTTGACATGGAAAACTGCACTGAAGCGCAGGACAGGAAAGCATGGAAAGTCCTCTCTGAAGCCTCATGTGCCACTAGGCATAACGAGAACTGATGATGAACAATCCACAAGGCTGTGTGACAAACTGCACTCATGAGCTGTAATCTACAAATGAACCCATCACCTTGAGAACATGAGGCTTCACCATGCAGACCCTCACAACTAAGATTTGTATTCTATGTTTTGCTAGCAATCTGAATGTGTGCTACGGATGTCTGTCTGCACACAACTGATGTCTGTCTGCCTACTAAGGTTTGTATACTAAAGATACATTCTTGCATACTACAGACCTCTCAGTCTGTATGCAACTGATGATGTATCTGTTTACTATTAACTTTGATGTGTACTGCTGATAACTGCCTGCGTACTAGTGACATTTATGTTTACTGTAAACATCTCCTTACAACACATGTGTGTGTGCTACTGATTGCTTCGTGTCTGCTATTGACATTTGATGTGTATATTAATGCTGTTTGCATCTGCAATACCGGTATATTTATGAAATGTCAACATTCTATGTAGAAGGTTAATAAAAAATTTTGAAACTGTAGTAATGAAGATACAAGAAAAAAAATTAGAACATGCTGAATCAAGAACAAAGCAGTTACATATGTACATAAGGTTTAAAAAAAAGTAATAAATATTCAAATATTAAATAGTATTTTAAAACAAATATTGAAGCAGCAACAGAAAATTGGGAGATAGGGGAGAGGCTACATGTGTCAGTTAGAGTCATTTAAAAAAAAAATATATTTTAATGTCCACGGTTAGCAAATAGATATGATTTTATAAATATTTATTGTGATCGTGATCATAATAAGTACGTTTAATAGAGTAAGTAATATATCAGTCTGGTTTCTGAACAATCAAAATGAAGATTAAACTAACATTAACAACAAATATGATGGTAGACACGTTAATAAGATTTAAAAAAACAAAACAAATAAGATCAGCTTACCAAGAAGATAACAGTCCAATACAAGGTGACAAATAAAAATAATAAGATTGTAAAAACTTCAGAAGGAAATAGTAATAGTAACTTAAACAACAATATTCTGTTCAACCCATCCGGGTTAAATTTGGGATATATAGGTTGTTTCTATTTCAATAATAGATTTCATGTCTACCAATTAATATTTATTTATTTAATCAATGCAATTAGTTGTCATTATTTTAGAAGGAAATCAATAATTAGCTCATTAATGATTAAAAAAAACTAATTGTACCAATAAACAGACCGCTCCTGACAGTATATGTCACAAAAACATGCTTCTAAAATCTTCAGAAGATTATAAAATAACATAATTGTTAATTTATAGTTTTGCATGAATTTCTGATTTCAAGGTTATGAATTTTAATTTTTGAGTTCATCTTTTATTAAATTAGCAAACTAATGCAACACTTATGTGGCAACATGCAAATTGTTTACTTAGACCATTTGCTATTAATAAATAAGAAAATCTTTACTTCTTAGCTTCAATGTTACCACAAAATTGTTGGAATATCGTGGAGCAGGAAGAAGAATAGATATTCTTCAGGATCTGCAGATTAAAGACAACTGGCTGATAAACAGCAACGTGTACTGGAAACTGAAATAGATCAGCCATGTTGGAAGAAGAGGAATATAAAAGTTGCCATCAAACATTACACTCTTCTTGGGCATGAAAATAAAAGTTTTTCCTGAAACTGGCAACAACTCAAGACTTCTAGTAACTCTTGATGAGCGAGTTCTGCAAAAGACCTCTACATAAACAAATTGTTAAACTCTACATACATTTAAAACAGTTATGAAGTAAGAGGTATCAGTAACACATTTTGCAAAAATTATTATTCTTTTAGAGTTAGTATGAATGATAGTGAAGTCTTCAGTTCAAAACCGTTAACTTTTGCAGAGTATTTCAGATAATGGTTTTGTGAACACTGGGCTTACTTGATCACTAATAATGTTTACTTCAAACTATCATATGATAAGATCAAAATACTGCGTCTCTGCCAACCTGTTTAAATTGTAAAGATCTTTCTGACTTTCTCTACCTCTAACATTTCCCTGCATGAGGTTTACTTTTGTCTCTCTACCTCTGTTCTGGTTTTTTACAACTAAATTCCACTGAACTGAAGGATGCAATTTTGTGTGTGTGTAGAAATGTGTAGTAACTAAGAAGAAGACTACATCTTTGTCAAGTGCCCACTCTTCCTGCAAACATACAACTTCATCTTCTTCAAGTCCATAGTCTTCTTATAATATACAACTTCCTCTTTTTCAAACCCCTAGTCTTTCTACAACACACAATTTCATCTTTTTTTAAAACTCCTAGTAATCTTATAACATACAACTTCCTCTGCAGACCTTTCTAATACATACAACTTCATCTTCTTCAAGTGCTTGTTCTGGAACAAACATGACTCCAGTCCTCCTGTCATCTGACATTTTGATGACATTTGTGTTGCTTTTTTGAACATGAGAGGAGGGCTACAACCAAACAGTGACATCACATAACACTGGAAGAGAAGCTGACATGCAAGGTGCCTAAATTATTGTGTTATACTGAAATGTTACCTTTCTAGGGTTGTCATTGGAGAAGTAGCTGTGGGGGTAGTACTTCAGGTGACATTTGTCCCCTGTTGTGTAATTAGCGATGTCCATTTCTCCATGGTTGTCCATCCACAGTTTACCCATGATGATGTTGTTAACAGTTGTAGTGACTTTACGCCAGGTGTAATGATTACCTGACTTGTGGAAAACAAGGTGGGCTATACCTGCAATATACAGACAAATAAATTCTTATTCATGGACACAAATGCAGTTCTTCTGTTCTCTTTTTTGTCTGTTATTGTGTGAGACATACAATATTTCTATTAACTTTATGCTTCCAATGCCAGATTTGTACAGTAAACGTCTTATCAGATAATCAGTTAATTGCAGTTCCTACCTCGCAGCAAATGGATAACCTCACAGTAAATTGATAGCCTCACAGCAAATGGATAACCTCACAGTAAATTGATAGCCTCACAGCAAATGGATAACGTCACAGTAAATTGATAGCCTCACAGCAAATGGATAACCCTACAATTGCCCCTTTCCTGTGATGTGCTTTGAACTAGTCTTTTAAAGGCTTGGAATCCCCACTGAGATGTGCAGGTCCTGACTTGAAGCATGGGAGTGCTACGTGTTGATGACAAACAAGTCAATGTAAAAATTATAATGATAAATGACGTATACAGTAGAACGTCAGTAAACTTGAACAGTAACAAATCTCAACAAAGTCTAGTGTAACTGGTGTACGATTTCCCACAGTGAATGCTGACAGAGATCCAACAAGAATGATGTGAGACTTCTGACAATGCTACTTGGACTAACAAATCTAAATGGAACGATAATGGTAAGCAAACCTGACAATGGCAATTATATCTTGCATATAAATGGTAAGCAAACCTAGTAAAAGGAAATATCTTGTATATAAATGGTCAACAAACCTGACAATGGCATTATTTTGCATATAAAAGGTAAGCAAACCTAGTAACAGCATTATCTTGAATATAAATGGTCAACAAACCTGACAATGGCATTATTTTGCATATTAAAAGGTAAGCAAACCTAGTAACAGCATTATCTTGTATATAAATGGTCAACAAACCTAGTAACGGCATTATCTTGTATATAAATGGTCAACAAACCTAGTAACAGTATTATATTGTATATAAATGGTCAACAAACCTCACAATGGCATTATTTTGCATATAAAAGGTAAGCAAACCTAGTAACAGCATTATCTTGTATATAAATGGTCAACAAACCTAGTAACGGCATTATCTTGTATATAAATGGTCAACAAACCTAGTAACAGCATTATCTTGTATATAAATGGTCAACAAACCTAGTAACGGCATTATCTTGTATATAAATGGTCAACAAACCTAGTAACAGTATTATATTGTATATAAATGGTCAACAAACCTCACAATGGCATTATTTTGCATATAAAAGGTAAGCAAACCTAGTAACAGCATTATCTTGTATATAAATGGTCAACAAACCTAGTAACGGCATTATCTTGTATATAAATGGTCAACAAACCTAGTAACAGCATTATCTTGTATATAATTGGTTAGCAACAGCATTATCTTGTATATAATTGGTTAGCAACAGCATTATCTTGTATATACCCTTCACTGCCCAAGTGTGATTACTACCCAAGTGTCCCAGACAACACATTATGTGATCTGATTTTTGAGAAGAAACATTATTAATTAGGTTGAAGTTCCAAAAACTATGTTTTGTGTTCTAAGATATATGCTGCCTCGGTGAACGTAATGCATATATGCGTAACTTATTGTGGCTAAGTCCTCATAAGGCATCTACGATGAGATCTGAAAGAGTTAACTGCTGTCTAGAGTCAACCCTGATTTACGGAAGGGAATTATGGGCAAAATACAGATTGGAGAAAAATTATCTGAAAGCCCTCGAGATGTTGCTTTACATAGGGACTACAGTTTCGGAAATTTGCGATCTTTTCGACAATTTCCGTTACCATGGAAACCGTTTGAAACTTGTTTCGGAAATGTCGGCTGGGGTTTCGGGATGGGTCCTAATCTCTCATGAAATTTTTGGATTGGTGTGATTTTCACCCACTCTAAATGGCTGAAAACAGCAGGAAGGAATCCGATTAACAGCGCATGTCTACAACAGCCGGACGTCCTCTGTTTTTCTGTTACATCAGTTTGATTGAAAATAGCGATAAGTTTTTCAGGTTGGCTTTAGGCATTAACTGTTACTCGTCCTGGTAATGCTAGTTATAATTGAATTCTCTGTCCAATTTTACATTTGTGTATAAACATTTCTTTCTGAACGGTGGCTAGGTAGATGTACAGTGACATTTTTCAGGCAATCGCTAGCTCAGCCAATTGCTGTGTCTCATTGCCTGCCATCTTGTCCAATGACAGTCCAGTGTAAACAAAGCCGATACAGAACTGCGCAGTAGGTTGCGCAGTCAAAAAACTTCTTGTTTCTGGGTCACAAGTTTTAGCGGCTGTTTCTTACATCTCATCTCCACAAAAACCTACATATCTCAGCTCAGAAATGACATACAAGCCTAAATGAGGTACCATTGGAAAGAGATTGTTTACAGCTATCTAACTGTGCTGGTTTTATTGGTGCAGAGAGCATTTTATAAATTTTACTGAAGTAGCTACTTTACAAAAGAATTATGAGGACACAACAGACAGACAGAAAAGATCTTCTGAAATAAATTAGCTTCCAATTGAGAAAATGTGGGCATGTTACGAAGGGAAAAAAACACAACAGCTTTCTGACGGCGGTCAAAATTTGTAGAAATGGAGCAAAGGAAAGACAAAGTAATGAATACCAAGATGGCCTGACAACAGGTCATAGGAAGGACAATAATAGAGGTTTGATTTGTGATTTTGATCATAATCTGATATGACGAACTACGACCGCCTTTATTTATCATCAAGGTACTTGATGATGATCTCAAAATTAATGTAGTTATGTTTTTTGTAGACTAGCAGCTTATATAAGTACAGGAAACGTACCCATAGGAATAATCTGAAGATATTTCCCCCTGAATTTGGTTGTCATGGTGAATTCTTGCCAGGTGGTCCACTCTCTTCCGTCAACATGTGTGGCCAGCATAGGAGGATGATGGGATACCTGGAACAGTTTTCAAAATTGTAATAATTAAATTAGGAATTTGTATTACAGTATAAAGGTTACAGAGAACAGATATTTAAGAGAATAACTGTTAAAGATCATTTTGTTATAGATAACTGTTCTCACAGATTTCAGACAATGGAGAGTCACACCGTGGAGGAGACTGGGCTTCACCGTGCACATTCTCTCAGACAATGGTAGGAGAGTTGCACCGTGGAGGAGACTGGGCTTCACAGTGCACATTCTCTCAGACAGCAGAGGTACACTGTAGCCAACCTTCATTGTGGAGATGGCATATATTCAAGGCAAAAATCTTTGTTACAGAGAATAGTTGTTACAGAGAATAGTTGTTACAGAGAATAGTTGTTACAGAGAATAGTTGTTACAGAGAAGAGTTGTTACAGAGAATAGTTGTTACAGAGAATAGCTGTTACAGAGAATAGCTGTTACAGAGAATAGTTGTTACAGAGAATAGTTGTTACAGAGAATAGTTGTTACAGAGAATAGTTGTTACAGAGATTAGTTGGTACAGAGAATAGTTGTTACAGAGAATAGTTGTTACATTAAAAAAAGCTGTTACAGAGAATAGTTGTTACAGAGAATAGTTGTTACAGAGAATAGTTGTTACAGAGAATAGTTGTCACAGAGAATAGTTGTCACAGAAATTAGTTGTTACAGAGAATACAATAGTTGTTACAGAAAATAATTGTTACAGAGAATAGTTGTTACAGAAAATAGTTGTTAAAGAAAATAGTTGTTACAGAGAATAGTTGTTACAGAGAATAGTTGTTACAGAGAATAGTTGTTACAGAGAATAGCTGTTACAGAGAATAGTTGTTACAGAGAATAGTTGTTACAGAGAATAGTTGTTACAAAAAATAGTTGTTACAGAGAATAGCTGTTACAGAGAATAGTTTTTACAGAGAATAGTTGTTACAGAGAATAGTTGTTACAGAAAAAATAGCTGTTACAGAGAATAGTTGTTACACAGAATAGTTGTTACACAGAATAGTTGTTACAGAGAATAGTTGTTACAGAGAATAGTTGTCACATAGAATAGTTGTCACAGAAAATAGTTGTCACATAAATTAGTTGTTACAGAGAATAGTTGTTACAGAAAATAGTTGTTAAAGAAAATAGTTGTTACAGAGAATAGTTGTTACAGAGAATAGCTGTTATAGAGAATAGTTGTTGCAGAGAATAGTTGTTACAGAGAATAGTTGTTACAGAGAATAGCTGTTACAGAGAATAGTTGTTACAGAGAATAGTTGTTATAGAGAATAGTTGTTACAGAGAATAGTTGTTACAGAGAATAGTTGTTACAGAGAATAGTTGCTACAGAGAATAGTTGTTACAGAAAAAATAGCTGTTACAGAGAATAGTTGTTACAGAGAATAGTTGTTACACAGAATAGTTGTTACAGAGAATAGTTGTCACAGAGAATAGTTGTCACAGAAAATAGTTGTCACAGAAATTAGTTGTTACAGAGAATAGTTGTTACAGAAAATAATTGTTACAGAGAATAGTTGTTACAGATAATAGTTGTTAAAGAAAATAGTTGTTACAGAGAATAGTTGTTACAGAGAATAGTTGTTACAGAGAATAGCTGTTACAGAGAATAGTTGTTACAGAGAATAGTTGTTACAAAGAATAGTTGTTACAGAAAATAGTTGTTACAGAGAATAGCTGTTACAGAGAATAGTTGTTACAGAGAATAGTTGTTACAGAGTATGCCCAGAGGGCTATGATGTCGATTTTTAAATCAGTCAATGAGTTGCAGAGAATAGATGTTGGAGAAAAAAAACTGTTACAAATCAGTGATAAAATAGATAGAGACTATACACAGAAGTATACAATGTGCAAAAGGTAAATCAAGTACTGGAATGATTGGCACTATTGAAACATGATACCTTTGTCTGCAAGAGCAGATTTTATAACTATATTTTGGCTGAACACAGACCTTTGCTAAAACAACTCAGTGCAATATCATAACAGACTAGATGTCTTTAGAGAGCTGCAAATATAACAATGCAAGGAGAGATGTAATTTAAAATGAAGAAATTCGAAGAGCTCTTGGTTTGAAACCAGACACACATTTCAGTCAAGAGCAACATATGAAATGGTTTGGCCATCTGATGAGAACACGCTGGTACTAGCAACCACACAGAGCCAATTTTGAGTTTATAGTGAACCAAGAGTGAGGGAAAGACTATGCTACTTGTGGGAAAACTGTGGTAATAAAAGCCTTAGAGAAATGAAGACTAACTTAAATAGACCATTAGAAACAGAACACAGTGTCTTCGTTGTAGTAACTGGAAAAAGAGAAGAAGACGGTGAAATAAATTATTATATTTTCTCCCAGAAAATAAGACTCATGTGATCTCACTTGCTCAGAAATGCCTCTCCAACCAAGGTCTTCCATTCTGTCAAACTCATAAGTCTCTCCCAGCAGTGGGTTGAAAGGTTTTCCAACCCTGTACACAGTTGTCGCGTATGATGATACAGTAAAGGCAGCCACCCAGGCCATCTGTTCTGTAGAGTCTGTGCAGCGTGCGGCCTGATCTAGGATTTCAGAGTATTCCATCTCCTCCATGATTCTTTGCAACATGGATAATGGTTCATTGAAGTTCACCTGTACAAGAGAAGGAGTAAATATCTTAGTGAAGTTTACCTATAGGAGTGTGATTAAATTAGACCCACTCCAAATGAATTATAACAAATGTATGAAATGTATGTTAGCAACTGTTAAGAAGCAACTGCTTCATAAGATGCTGCTGGTGGAATTAAGAAATATATCCCAGTGTTTTGGAGATGGTGGATAACCTTTGAAAGAAAGCTGCTCACTGGACCATCTCTTTCATAGCTGTCTTGATGTCAGTATGTCAGTGTGTCAGTATGTCAGTCTGTCAGTATGTCAGTCTGTCAGTGTGTCAGTGTGTCAGTATGTCAGTGTGTCAGTGTGTCAGTATGTTAGTGTGTCAGTATGTCAGTGTGTCAGTATGTCAATGTGTCAGTGTGGCAGTATGTCAGTGTGTCAGTATGTCAGTGTGTCAGTATGTCAGTATGTCAGTATGTCAGTGTGTCAGTGTGTCAGTTTGTCAGTATGTCAGTATGTTAGTGTGTCAGTGTGTCAGTATGTCAGTATATCAGTGTGTCAGTATGTCAGTGTGTCAGTTTATCAGTGTGTCAATATGTCAGTGTGGTAGTATGTCAGTGTGTCAGTATGTCAGTGTGGCAGTGTGTCAGTGTGTCAGTATTTCAGTGTGTCAGTGTGTCAGTTTGTCCGTATGTCAGTATGTTAGTGTGTCAGTGTGTCAGTATGTCAGTATATCAGTATGTCAGTGTGTCAGTATGTCAGTGTGTCAGTATGTCAGTGTGTCAATATGTCAGTGTGGTAGTATGTCAGTGTGTCAGTCTGTCAGTGTGTCAGTATTTCAGTGTGTCAGTATGTCCATGTGGCAGTATGTCAGTGTGTCAGTATGTCAGTGTGTCAGTATGTCAGTGTGTCAGTATGTCAGTGTGTCAGTATGTCAGTGTGTCAGTATGTCAGTGTGTCAGTGTGTCAGTGTGGCAGTATGTCAGTGTGTCAGTATGTCAGTGTGTCAGTATGTCAGTGTGTCAGTATGTCAGTGTGGCAGTATGTCAGTGTGTCAGTATGTCAGTGTGTCAGTGTGTCAGTATGTCAATGTGTCAGTATGTCAGTGTGTCAGTATGTCAGTGTGGCAGTATGTCAGTGTGTCAGTGTGGCAGTATGTCAGTGTGTCAGTGTGACATATATGTCCCTTGAGAGCTTTTCCCAAGGGTCCAAATATTTCATGTGGAAGCAGATCACGCTAAAACATTACAATGGGTATAGAGCGAGTGGAAGATCTCAGAAAAGATGGAGTGATGGCATTAAGAACAGCCTTACAGAAATGAACATCAGTCTTAATAGTGCTCTTGACAGAGCTCATCAATGAACATTACATCTCCCCCCGACACTTCGATGAGGTACAAGGTGGAAGAGAAGAAGAAGAAGAGGCAGATCAGAAATGTAGACTGAGTGCATCAGAACTTCCCACCTGCAGGCTTCAGGTAAATCCCTGCTTCCAAACAGTTGTGTGTACCTGCTGATGGACTGATAAGCATAGATACACTAATATATTCATATGAACATAATAAGTACATGTTGGTGTGTCTTTGTTTACATGTGAGCATGTGCATTTGTGTGGCTGTGTTAGAAAAGTCAATAAAAGTCCTCATTTACCGGCATAGGAATCTTGGATAACTCTTTGCCTATGGCATTCTTCATAAAGTTCCACAGGTTAAGACTCATGTTGGGCTTCTCGGGAATTTGCTTGCGTCTGTTCCTGTGAGTCGTGAGGGCTGAATCAGATCCAATGCCATCACAGTAGGCAGGCTTTTGGTTCTCTAGCTGTAGTTGAGAAGAAATGTTAATTAAAACTCTCATACATTATTTGTACTGATCTCAGTTTCATAATTTGTCTCTGTTTTTTGTGTGAAAATAAGAAGCATAAAAATAATCCCATTCCTCACATTCCGAACAGCAAGGGAAACTGGCTCATGAACTGTATCATGTCTGATAAACTGACACACTTCAGTGATATTCCATGTCATATTTGTTTGGTGAGAACAGAAAAGAAGGGAATTGTTCATGGAAGAAGAGGTGGAGGTCAACCAGAACAGTTGTGGACACAGATCTCAAGAGCATCCTGAGCATGAAAGTTTCAGAAGCAGGAGGTTTGGGAGGGATTGGGTGTCTATTTTGTGTGGTAATGACAGCGAACTTCTGCAAAAGACCAGCTACATGATAATGATTTGTGGAAATGGTGTGATACTACTTTTTCAAATGACACTTTATTTGCCAGGAAACATATGAATGGTGCTGCCAATTTTATGTTAATTCTATGGAGAAAAAAAACTATTATTGTCAGTAAAGTAAAGAGGTAAAGATCCCTTTTCATGCCTCAGGCGTATTGGGCATATGGGAAGAGCGCCCATATTTTTTACAGACCATCAGCAATCAGTGGGTAACGTGGTCAGCATTACGCCGGCCCTCTTTACTTCCCTAGGACAGCACATCCTGGTACCCATTTAAGGCTGGGTCAACCTGTGACGCCCCATACCATGATAAAAATCCATGCAGCCAGCAGTGGGTTTCGATCACAGTACGCTGGTATTATGAGTCAGACTCGCAACGCCTGAACGGACACTGCTCTTATTGTCCGTACTCATGTGAAAATCAACATTATTTGTTGTAAGCCTACGAAAAATACTTTGATCATCAGTAAAAATATGTATGGCAGGTTGTTTTTTTTTCAATAAATATATGTATTGAAGAATGTGAGTATTTTCTTCTTGACTTGTGGTTTTCTAAGAATTTTAAATTCACAGCATAAGTTATAAAAGCAATCATGTCTCATGTTATTGGCATATAGGATGTAAAGTCTGGACCCATATGTTTATAGACCAGTAGCACTCAATGTTGACCATATCAAGCTGGCTATCTTCACTTTCCAGGACATTTCCCTGTATCCATTTTTGACTGAGTGAAGCAGTCAATACTTAAAAAAATATGCCTTGATGCTGATTTGAATCATAAAACTGTGAGTCAGCAAGCAATCTTACAGTTAATAATAGGATTTAAAAATTATGAAACTTTCTAATGCCATCACATCTAGAGAAGTTGCATAACATCCATTGGTTAACCTTCCCCTGCATTAACTTTTGTCACAGAGGAGTGTCCATGACTAAGTGGTCTTTGTCTGACTCATGCACTGAAGGTCATGTATTCAATCTCAGACTACATCATACAACTCACACGTGTAATTTTTGAGGAAGATTTCTGGGCATTGTCCTTGGAACTAGACAGCCTGTTTGGAATGAAACTCAGTGTAATGAAGTTGATCCTTTGACAATTAAACTCTGTTGAATGAAATCATTGTTAACAGCAGTGGACAGGACAAACCCAGACTTACAGATATTATAGGAGAGGGTGTTGTGTTGATGCAAACCCTTGCCATGTTTGGACTGCCATCTGCGTCACAATGACCTCCGCCATCTGGGCAGCCATCTGTGCAATCGGCAAATCTGCAAGATCAGTTGTAAAAAGGTTCAGCATGAAAGTGCAGTTTGAGCATCTTGTTCTTGTACACACAACATACAGGTCCTTTAGATCAGGGTTCAACTTAGGTGGCTAACAGGTCCTTGGCATTGCATACACCCTATTGTCAAATACATTGAATCCTTAACCCTGCCTTATGGTGCAGAGACCAGGACAATGAACAAGCAACTAGACAGGAGTCCCTAGAGATGTGAATATACAGAAGAATAGGCTGTAATAAAGGGAAACACACCCACACACACCCATCCACACCCACCCACACACACCCACACACACCCACCCACACACACACACCCACACCCACACACACCCACACACACATCCACACACACACCCCACACACACCCACACACACACACACACACACACACACACCCACACGTGCACGCACCATACACAATTTAAAAATCAAGGTTCTGAAGGGACTGTGAATGAAAACAGAGTTACTGAAAGAAATACAAAAGAGACAATTTGAATATTTTTTCCACACTAAAAGACAACACTCTTTCAAAATACATACTGGGGTGGGGGGAAGAGGGGAGGGCGCTCAAAGGTAAGAGAACAAGAGGTAGACAACAGTACAAGTTGGAGGACCATATTAAAAGATAGATGAAAAGCAATCTGATATGGAATTTTAAAAGACGGATTAAAAGCAATCTGACAGCAATATGATAGGACAATTTTAAAAAGACAGATGAAAAGCAATCTAATAGCAATGTGACACAGCCAAGACAAGAGACAGAGAGGGTTGGAGATCCATTGCAGCCAACCACCACTATGGAGATGGCACCTGATTAATTGATTGATAGCATTGATTCATGAATGTAACTTTTCAATTAACAAGTCAGCTTCTGTGGCCCAGTGGTAGCCAACACATACTGGAGTTCAAAGGTCAGCTGCAAGCAATCTGGTGGCAAATCACTTCGATTCTGACAATTGCATTAGCATCATCATTTGCTGAGAAAGCAGTTTGAAACTACTGAACAATAAACTACCTAGTAAAACCATATGACTGCCAATCAATGCTAGGACTTGTTTGTACTGACACACAACTGTCCAGGAAGAATAAGAAAAGCAAAAGTAATGTGTTTTCCAAGCCTTCAGGCATATTGGGCATATAGGGCTAGACCTATGGGTGTCCTGACTGGTTTTATAGACCAATCGGCACTCAGTGGGTGATGTGGTCAACATCCTGCCGACTGCCGTTACTTCCAGGACTTTTCCTGGTACTTATTTAACTCTTTGAGTCCCAGAGTGTTTAGCATCACAGGCCCAAGGGGTAGCTAAAAGAGACATAGAATCAGCGCATCATGCATTTAATGGGCTTCTATGTAGTAGGAACCTATGAACGTATGATGCGTTCCTTGGGACTCAAAGAGTTAAGGCTGGATCAACCTGGCAGTCAAAGTCATTTAAAAAAAAAAAAAGTCCATCTCCAATCAGATCTGCACTTTTCAGATCTGCAGGTGAGTATTGAAACAAACTCTCCCTACTAACTTATAACAAAAGATTAATGTTAACTATTCCTGTTCTGGCAATGCAGTCTGTTGGGTATATGGTGCTAGCCAAATATGTTTAGCCTATCAACACCTACCAGCCATCTTCACTTTAAAAAAAAAAAAAAACTCCTGGTGTCTATTTTAGACTGACCTAACCTGGTAGTCCTGATGAATAGATAAAAGTGCTTGCCTTGAAGTAGACTGGATCACAACTGAGTCAACGGGCAAGAAATCAAGCCACTTCATTAGTTCCCATGCCAGAGTTATCACAGGGCAACTGTATTGTTTTCTTTATTTGTCAGTTTACCTTGTTTATTGTTGTTAGTTTGGTAATATATACTATTTTACGAGATGGATATTAATGCACATAACCACAATTATCATGAAGTGCCCTTCTAATACAGGCATGGGTGATTGTGCTCCCGATCTACATCAGAAAACCGATCTACACCAGAAAACAATTTCATTTCAGATTTTATATCTCTGTTGTCAATCTTTCTTTTCAGTGATTACAATGTGACAGCTTTATTTGTTTTCATAATGCGTATAATAGTAATGGCTACCTTTTTCTCACTTTTAAAAAAAATGAATGTGACTTTTCGTTAAGAGGAATTTCAACATTTAGATTGCTCAATTTGGCTGCCCAGGTATTTTCAGCATCCTGTCATAAAACCACATTTCTGTAGCTTCAAAAGATTTTTTTTCTGGTTTGTTTGCTCCTGTCCAGAATTAACAACCAGATACTAAAATTGGTTCGGTTAACATAAAAAATTCCATTTTGCAACTTGCAATGGCGACGTCTTGTTTCATAATAGGTTTTTTAATTTTTTATTTCATAAACTAAAGCCTTTTATTGTTGCATTCTGCTCTTTATTATTTGTTAGTGCTTATTATTTACTTTTCACTTGATTTTCTCATTTTTGCACCTTCTGTTATATGTTCTATGTCTGGTATTAAGTGGTGCCTTACCTGCCTTCTTTCAATCATAAATTATTATTTATTAATCTTATTTTACTTCCACTTTTTAGGGTAGCGTAGGATGGATGGGAAAGGTAGACTTGAGCCGGAGGATTTAGAACTTCATGACTAGTGCAGACGCCACAAACAGCTGGTAGGATAGTAGATGTTTATCTTTGCCATGACAGAAGAAAACGTCCATCACCTCATCCTCATGAGCATCCAGGTGTTCTAACGACTGTGTCCGCTGCTCCACGTGTAAAATGCTGACCACCTGTATTTGCTGAAACTCAGGACTGAACCAAGGACCTAAAACTGGTCCCTAATATTTTATGAAATCCTAGATTAAACCAAAGACCTAAAACTGGTTCCCTGATATTTGCTGAAACTCAGGATTGAACCAAGGACCTAAAGCTGATCCCTGATATTTGCTGAAACTCAGGATTGAACCAAGGACCTAAAGCTGATCCCTGATATTTGCTGAAACTCAGGATTGAACCAAGGACCTAAAGCTGATCCCTAATATTTGCTGAAACTCAGGATTGAACCAAGGACCTAAAGCTGATCCCTAATATTTGCTGAAACTCAGGATTGAACCAAGGACCTAAAGCTGATCCCTAATATTTGCTGAAACTCAGGATTGAACCAAGGACCTAAAGCTGATCCCTGATATTTGCTGAAACTCAGGATTGAACCAAGGACCTAAAGCTGATCCCTGATATTTGCTGAAACTCAGGACTGAACCAAGGACCTAAAACTGGTCCCTAATATTTTATGAAATCCTAGATTAAACCAAAGACCTAAAACTGATCCCTGATATTTGCTGAAACTCAGGACTGAACCAAGGACCTAAAACTGGTCCCTAATATTTTATGAAATCCTAGATTAAACCAAAGACCTAAAACTGATCCCTGATATTTGCTGAAACTCAGGACTGAACCAAGGACCTAAAACTGGTCCCTAATATTTTATGAAATCCTAGATTAAACCAAAGACCTAAAACTGGTTCCCTGATATTTGCTGAAATCCAGGATTGAACCAAGGACCTAAAGCTGATCCCTGATATTTGCTGAAACTCAGGATTTAACCGAGGACTTAAAACTGATTCCCTTATATTTGTTGAAACTAAGGACGTAAAGCTGGCCACCTGATATTTGCCGAAACCCAGGATTGAACCAGGGACCTTTAGACCTCCAGTCTAACATGCTCTCATCTGAGTTATTTCAAACTGATAAACTAGCATTATTGCAACATTCATCAAAATACTGAAAAACGAACACAACAGAGGTACATCACTGGAATACTGAGTTTGGCTGTGGGGTTCTTTATTATCATTTTCATCATCATATACCCTGCTGATACATGTATGCAGTCATGTTTCACCATTTCACATGACCACCAGAATCACAGACCTAGTCACTGTTCTTGTCTTACCCCATCCATATATCCAAGCAAACGAGAAATTTGCCTTCCATTTGGTCTTTTAAACTACAGTACTTTATACAGCTGAATGGGGTTTTATGTGATTTCTTCCCATTGGACAAATATCAGAAATAAAGTTAGAAAGTGGCTGTGATATCAGACCTTCAGGTAACAAGCAGTCCTGCAGGTTAAAAACATCTAATTCGTTATGACTCACCTGTGCATTGTAACAGGTTTATTATCTGAAACTGCTATCATGAATGCTCTATCTCGCAGAAGACGCCAGAATGCATCAAAGAATTAACTTGTCAGGTATTCAGTCTGTAAATAAATCAAGGTCAGGACAATTACTACAAATATAGTAAAAATATAGCTAAAGTCCATTGATCGATTAGGTGCCCTCTCCACAATGAAAGTTAGCTGCAATAAAACTTCACTGCTTGTTATCTCCTCCTCTGGTTGAGCCTTCAGACACGCTCCTCTTTATCTCTTGGTAGTTTCCCACTTGTATCCCTATCTATTCCTTCATCTCTTGGTAGTTGCCCACTTGTATCCCTATCTATTCCTTCATCTCTTGGTAGTTGCCCACTTGTATTCTGTCTATTCCTTTATCTCTTGGTAGCTGCCCACTTGTATCCCTCTCTATTCCTTTATCTCTTGGTAGTTGCCCACTTGTATCCCTATCTATTCCTTCATCTCTTGGTAGTTGCCCACTTATATCCCTATCTATTCCTTTATCTCTTGGTAGTTGCCCACTTGTATCCCTATCTATTCCTTCATCTCTTGGTAGTTGCCCACTTATATCCCTATCTATTCCTTTATCTCTTGGTAGTTGCCCACTTGTATCCCTATCTATTCCTTCATCTCTTGGTAGTTGCCCACTTATATCCCTATCTATTCCTTTATCTCTTGGTAGTTGCCCACTTGTATCCCTATCTATTCCTTCATCTCTTGGTAGTTGCCCACTTGTATCCCTATCTATTCCTTCATCTCTTGGTAGTTGCCCACTTATATCCCTATCTATTCCTTTATCTCTTGGTAGTTGCCCACTTGTATCCCTATCTATTCCTTCATCTCTTGGTAGTTGCCCACTTGTGTCGCTATCTATTCCTTCATCTCTTGGTAGTTGCCCACTTGTATCTCTATCTATTCCTTTATCTCTTGGTAGTTGCCCACTTGTATCCCTATCTATTCCTTCATCTCTTGGTTGTTGCCCACTTGTATCTCTATCTATTCCTTTATCTCTTGGTAGTTTCCCACTTGTAACCCTATCTATTCCTTCATCTCTTGGTAGTTGCCCACTTGTATCCCTGTCTATTCCTTTATCTCTTGGTAGCTGCCCACTTGTATCCCTCTCTATTCCTTTATCTCTTGGTAGTTGCCCACCTGTATCCCTATCTATTCCTTCATCTCTTGGTAGTTGCCTACATGTATCTCTATCTATTCCTTCATCTCTTGTAGTTGCCCAGTTGTATCCCTGTCTATTCCTTTATCTCTTGGTAGCTGCCCACTTGTATCCCTCTCTATTCCTTCATCTCTTGGTAGTTGCCCACTTGTATCTCTATCTATTCCTTTATCTCTTGGTAGTTGCCCACTTGTATCCCTATCTATTTCTTCATCTCTTCGTAGTTGCCCACTTGTATCCCTATCTATTCCTTTATCTCTTGGTAGTTGCCCACTTGTATCCCTATCTATTCCTTCATCTCTTGGTAGTTGCCCACTTGTATCCCTATCTATTCCTTTATCTCTTGGTAGTTGCCCACTTGTATCCCTGTCTATTCCTTCATCTCTTGGTAGTTGCCCACTTGTATTCCTGTCTATTCCTTTATCTCTTGGTAGTTGCCCACTTGTATCCCTGTCTATTCCTTCATCTCTTGGTAGTTGCCCACGTGTATTCCTGTCTATTCCTTCACCTCTTGGTAGTTGCCCACTTGTATTCCTATCTATTCCTTCATCTCTTGGTAGTTGCCCACTTGTATCCCTGTCTATTCCTTCATCTCTTGGTAGTTGCCCACTTGTATCCCTGTCTATTCCTTCACCTCTTGGTAGTTGCCCACTTGTATTCTGATCTATTCCTTTATCCAATGTCTTTGACTTTTCATTACAATATGGTTTTTTTCAGGAATCTATATTATTTTGTCAGCATCTGTGGTTTAGGAGTTGCAAACAGGCTTCATAATTCTGAGGTATTCTGATTACAAGTGCTAGCCATTTGGCAGCAGACTGCTTTGTTCTGACTTTTTAAAAAAAACTATCAAGAGCTGACTGTCCAGAAAGCAGTGGTAAACTCATTCATTCATTCAGTAGCATGTCCCTCGCGGAACCTCGCTGCCATAACAACACTCCGGAAAACCTTCCTATCCTGAGCAAGATGTCCTGCGTCTGATACACCCATCTGGAGATCATCTGCCACATCCTGCACCCATCTTCTACTTGGCCTTCCTCTTCCTCTCTTCCCAGGCATATACCCCTCCATTATTGTTCTCTCTAGACTTCCATGACGTTTCAAGTGACCAAAATATTTCAATTTTCTTTGTTTTATTGTCTTTACTAGCCAACCCTCTTCAATATTCAGCACTTGAAGTATGGATGCATTTGTTCTTTTCTTTACCCAAGATATTCTTAGAACCTGTCTGTAACATTTATATTCAAATGCATTTATGCGCTGTTCCGCTTGTTTAGTAAGTGTCCAGGTCTAACAGGTGTATGTTGCAAAGGGAAAAATGCATGCTCTTAAAAATCTGACCTTTGTAATTCTATCTGTACAATTCCATAATTTATTCAGTTGTTTTAGTCTTTGAAGAGCAATTGATAGTCGCCGTTTAATTTCTTTCATTGTGTCACCATTGTTGGTAACCAGTGACCCAAGATATTCGAAATTTTCCACCACTTCCAATCTTTCCTCATTAACATATATTTCCTTCTCCATGGCAGTTTTGTTTGTATGCATTATCTTTGTTTTTGCTATGTTAAGAAATAAGTTATGATTTTCACTATTTCTTTGGAGTGAGGTTAATAAGTTTTCTAAATCATTTTGGTAAACTACTGTAAACTACTGAACATAAAATTGCCTAGTACAACATAAACACACACAAATGATGAGGTCGGTTCTGCAATGGCATTTAAAAATAAATACCAAACAGATTTTTCCATCTTACATGTCTTCCATCAATTCACCTTTCACTGACAGCTTCATGATGCTCTCAGAATGTTACAGATTGTATGTCATCAATGCAACATTTACTCTACTGTTGTTGTTGTTTTTCCAGTGCTGAGGGGGTTTTCCCGATTAATTTGCTCTCTAGCCTAAACGTCATGCAAAACATTCTGATACTCATTGTGTACTAATAAGTAATTAGTTAGTTAGTTAGTTAGTTAGTTAGTTAGTTAGTTAGTTAGTTAGTTAGTTAGTTAGTTAGTTAGTTAGTTAGTTAGTTAGTTAGTTAGTTAGTTAGTTAGTTAGTTAGTTAGTTAGTTAGTTAGTTAGTTAGTTAGTTAGTTAGTTAGTTAGTTAGTTAGTTAGTTAGTTAGTTAGTTAGTTAGTTAGTTAGTTAGTTAGTTAGTTAGTTAGTTAGTTAGTTAGTTAGTTAGTTAGTTAGTTAGTTAGTTAGTTAGTTAGTTAGTTAGTTAGTTAGTTAGTTAGTTAGTTAGTTAGTTAGTTAGTTAGTTAGTTAGTTAGTTAGTTGGGTTATCCTCATTGCACTCCGGACATGTCCATAGGTGCTCAGATCCTCCCTTGAGTATGAACCCCAACGTCCGATGGTTAATAGTACCAGTTCTATGTTGATTAACAAGTCTTCTGGCGTGTCTGGTGTGCGTCTCGTTTTTTTGCTGTGCCGATCTTAATTCCCAAGTCTGCCATTCTGGCGAGTGATGTGGATTCACTGCCACCAAAGTCCTCTATCCTTCCCATTTCTATGTGGGCATTAATAATATCAGCATGATCCGTAGGCTGACCGTCGGTAGTGATAGCGGATCCAGCCAACCTGTCAGCTCTTTCATTTCCATCGAAGCCTGCGTGTCCCGGAACAAAAATAAAGTTGACTCCACTAATAACACTAATAAGTAGATATAGTTAATGAATGGATATTTTGTTAGACTCACTTACCCCCCCCCCCCCCCCCCCCCAAAAAAAAATATTTTTACGGTAAGATTTATGCAGAGTTCTTTATAATAATTATTTATACATTATGATTTATAAGAATAATTAATGCATTCACATTTTTACAGGATTATTTATAAATGATGATTTATACAACATCGTTACACTGGGAAGATGTGTAATAGATCTCTTGACAAAACAACAATCTGAAAACCTATAGCGGAGCAGAACGGAGAGGTCATGGGACAAGAGGACCAGTGTAGTCTCTGGCCTGGGTTTTCTCTGATCAAACATCGCGATGACAATTGGCAAATGAATGCCCAAACTCTACCATCTTCCACAGAGAGATGAAATCAGCAACTCCATCACTAGAATAGAAGCACACAAACTGAAAGCAAAATCAATAAGTTTGGCTCGGAATGTTAGAGTGTGGCAGAATCTAGATGCAGAGTTTCCCAACTTTGGAGCCACGCTCAACAGGAAAAAAAAAAGGGGGGGGGGGCATTCGAAATGGACTCGTCCATAGTTTAAGTAGCATGGAGAGAGGGGGGACAAGAACTTTGGGAAGGCTTAGATGGGGTATGGCACAAAAAGGTTGGGGAAAAACTCATCTAAATACTGCAACCAGAGAGAAAAGAGAACAGGGATATTAAAGGACTGTTGTACCCGCCTTGACCTCTGGGTAGTGAGTGTGTGGTACAAGCTGTATATTTTTAGACCTGTCAGGACTTCGTGGATGATGTGATTACTATATTCATGGTCGCTGTTATTTTGCTCAGTATTTCCGATTGCCAGTTTTAAGGTAGATCGAGAAACTTGGTCAATTTTCACCACACAAATGCGCGCTAGCGCGTGCGTGCACACGCACACACACACAATAAATAAATACATCGCTCAATGGGAATTCGCACGTATGAATCTCGAACCGAAAGGCAGACGAGAAGGCCACCAAACCCGTTTGGCTTCCCGGGTAAGGGTATATGGGTATACCATGTTACGGTACAGAAGAAGACATGACCGGTTTAACGACACTTTGGTTGAAATTCGATAAAAATTACTAGCATTAGGCGTGCGTCCTAACGTGGAACACATTTTGTTGTTGTTATTGTTTTAAAGCCCCACATTGGCTGATACCGGAGCCTCTAATATAACCCAA